CGTGACGGTATTCAAAACAAGGGTTGTTGGATTATTAGCTTTTAATTGCAGCATTCCACAGACTACAAGATTAATTGAAAGTTGCGACTTCATTGTAGGCAAATCCACTAACTGTAAAGTAATTGGCCACAAACTTCCTCTAAATGGCACATCTTTAATAAACAAATAATAATAATACCTGAAATGTCCTCGGGGATTGACGCCGTCCAGACTTAGCACCATGCTCAGATCACAATGATTTTCATCCTCGTATTTCCATGAACTGGAAAAAGAACTTCCTTGAAGATTGTGTGTGAAGTTTGGTGCTTTTTCCTTCAATTTCTTTCGAATTTCCATTATATCGTCAAAGGACGACTCCACAATCCCGCGAATTTGTTCGGTGAGAGGCAGCATAAGAAAAGTCGCCAAATCGCCGCAACTGAAATTGATCATAATAATGTTTGAAATGTGGTATATGTGTTTACCATTCTTTCTCTCTTCGACATCCACACTTTTCGCATATTGAACGCTTCATAATATTCTTCTTGAAATCATACCACAATGAGCGGGCTCTTTCAATCGGGATGAAGTTTTTAATTGTTGCCAGTCGTCTCAAAAAGCCTGCAACCATTTTTTGTCTTTGGAAAAGTATTAGTTTTACCATTTTCTGTATCTTTTCCGAGTACCGAACTATACATGCACAATAATAGTTCATCGGCCAATTCCGATACACGATCATGTGCGGGGTAATTCGGTACGCATGACGGCCCGACTACTTCGGAGAATTCTTCAATTTCGCTTTCAGATCGTTCTCTCATGAGAAAGGATGTTGTTGATGCATCATTTTCATTATTTTCGTTGTTCGACGATTTGTTTCGAAGTGAAAGCCGGGCGTTTTTTCGAGCAAAGACCACACGTTTGGTCGGCATGCATCGCGAACCAGCAATTTGATCTTAAAATAATAAACAATCAGCAATATTAATATACGAAACAAACCTACCTTTCCTCAATTTGAGACCTTCTTTGGGTAATCGATGGCGAAGAGTTTTAGGCATTTCCAAAATTGATTTTTAAAAAAATTGTGATTAACATGGCGCCATCTGCATTCACATTACGATCAACTGCACAATTCCATCTATTTTTCACCCTTTCAGTGTCTATTTCTTATCATTATCTTCTATCTATTTTTTCCCAATTTTTCATCTATTTGTCATCCATTTATCGTATATTTTTCACCAATTTTTGAGATAATCTATTTTTCGCCCATTTTTCTCCTAGTTTTTATCTACTTTTCCGAGTAATCTATTTTTCATCCACCTTTTCACCATTTTTCGTCTGTAGCACAGTTGCAGTGGTTGGACGGACTCGAGCAAATCAAATAAATTTTTTTTAAGAATCAAATATTCAATAATAAGTTCTAAAATATTTTGAGAAATTCTAAAGTTAATTGATACTTTCGAAAACTTATTGAGAATCGCTGAACTTAAAAATATTTTTTTTAATCTTATAAGATTTTCTAAAATTTATTGAGCAAATTCTAATTCTATCTCAATAATCTCTAAAATCTTATAATAATTTCTAAAGTTGATTGAGAGAATTCTAAAATATTATAGAGACAAGTTAGTTTCTTAAAAAATCTCAAAATATTTTATTTGATTTACCTGAGGAATTCTGAATTCCGCTAACAAAAAAATGTAATAAAAATTTAGAATCGATATTGCTAAAATTATATTGTCGGCATCAAAAGACTGAACGAAATTTTAGAAATTATTTCAGCAATTCGATGGGGACGAACAGCATACACAAACATGGGAAAAAAATTCAATAATCGAAAGAAAAGTCGCCCCCCCCCGGGTTAGCTCGATACGTTAAATTGAGGACGATGTATAACTGGAGTGTCGTACTGGTAGAATAAAAATGTTGTGGGACAAACCGCGGAAGTTTTTGGAAACTCCAGCGGAACCCCAATGTTTAAACCAAAACCAGCCGCGGCTCTTTTTTTCGAATGATTACACTAATCCGCTAATTTGAAGGGCCCGCCTCCTTTCATGAAAAAAGGTGGTTCGTCGCCGCAATTCAACTCGCAATAGAGCGCATTTGCTCATTTGATTGTGTTGCCACTTTTCGTCAGTTTTTCGATGGAAGATTGCGGAACAGCATCTTAGTAATTTAAATGTTGATAAACATTGCATTCGAGTTAAGAAAAAAACACGAAGGATGCTCTATTGACTCGAGAAAATCCCGCGCTTCTCCCCGGCTATTAAACTTTTTTCAACGATAATTCGAAATTTGAATACCGAATTTTCACGGTGTCTACAAGCATTTCACATAAAAATTACAACTGTTTTATTCTTAAAAATGATTATTCAACAAAAATCGAATTGAAGATTCTTATTGAGGAACAATAATTTATTGAAGTTGTCCGAAGTCATTGACTTCCTAATGGGATTCAAAATTCGCCCGGCAGTCGAGAAAACTGGTTCAACTACTGCTGAACCAGGAGGACAAATCAAATATTTTTCGGCTTCATTTTTAAAAAAATGGTAAAATAGAAGATGATTTGTCGTCATTTGTCCAGTAATCCATCGTGTCTACCGTAACATAAAGTGGAATAGCAAAGTATTTTTCCATTTCACGTGATTTAATTACAATGAGGTAGGGAAAAATTTTAAATGTACGACCTTTGCAGTGAATTCCTTGTCGATGTAGTATTTGATCGTTCATTTTTAGCTTCCAATTTCTACCTGAAAAGATAAAAGTTATAAAAATATTTTTCGTACCAGCATAAAAGCTTTAAATAACGATTTGTGATTTTTTTAATGGTTGCAAACAATTCCCGAGAGAAAATTTCGCATTTTTTTCGGGCATTTTTTTCCCCGGGAAAAAGACTCCCGGGAATTTCCCATATATATATATATATATATATATATATATATATATATATATATATATATATATATATATATATATATATATATATATATATATATATATATATATATATATATATATATAGAAAAAAAAACATATATTTATCGAAAAATTTATTACTTTAATCAATTTCTTTTAAAAACAGTTGTTGTGCTCCTCCCCGGAGATTTCGAAATCGTCATCAGCAGTTCCAATGCCTATTGATGGTTCTCTGCTGTCGTCGTTGTCCCAATTTTCATAATTACAATCGAGATTCATTTCATCGCTCTCCTTGTCTTCCTCACATTCCTTCTCCTCAGTCGCTTCTTCTTCATCTTCATAAGTGATGATGGCGGAAAAGACGAAAATAAAAATAATTGACGCAATGAGGGACTTGTATTTGAAAAAAGAATAATATCGACCACGGCCTTAAAATTGTCGGTCTGTGCATATCGTTGTGACCCTCTTCTTTCGTTGCGCTCTCTCGCTGTTCCCCTCGTCGCCTCACCCTCTTTTTCATCTTCATACTCTCTCCTCACTCTACGTTACAAAAGTTTAATTAAATTCCATTCCAGCCACTAGCATAAAATCGCTCGAAATTCTCGAGAATTTTCCCGAGACATTCTCGAAGACTCCTGAAGACTCCCGGGAAGTTCTCGGGAGTCTTCTGGATTGTCTCGAGATTTCCCCGGGTTTTCGGCACAGATTCCCTAAAATTTCTCGGGAGTCTTCGGGATTTTCTCGGGAATTTTCTACATGTCTCGGAAAAGAAAGGCTCGGGAAAATTCCGCATCTCATAATTCCCGGAAGCACACACTGGTTGCAAACCCTAATTATTGGTTTTTTCCTGTATTACCCATGTTCCGTCTCCATTCACTGGACAATCGCTTGAGCTGATTCGTGAAAATTTGGCGAGTTTTTCATTTAAGCAATTAAGAAATGGAAAGGTGGAATTACGGTTCATGCTGATGAAGATCTGCTCTTAAACAAGGAAATTTATTTGAAACAAAATTAGAGATTTTAGATATACCTGCGTCATGACTGCTTGTTCAGAAAGCCGCTCCAAAATTTCAAGAGTTTTTCTAAGAACTAACCAGTCACTGAAATTCAATGAAGGAAGAGAGCTGTAGCATTTGATAAGCTCATTCAAAGCCTCTTTGAAGCTCATTCAAAGCCTCTTTTAATCTTTTTTTTTAATTTGACAGGTGGTCCCTATTCAATTTTGGATTGACACGAAATGGTTTCTATCGTCGTCCATTACAACAATTTTGAAAATTGAAATTCCGCTACGGAATCGATATTGTGACGTTGCAGCTTTTACATGCTTTTCGAACGTCGTCGAATTCATTACATTGACGCTGATGTGAGATATACAAAGAAACGTTGAGCCTAAACGATTTTTAAAAACGAGAGAGAGAGAAACGGAAAAGAATAAATATTAAAAGAAAAACAGAAAGAATATAAAAATAAATTTCGAAAAACAATTACCGTATCATTTTCTCGTTCAAAGGAGCAGACTTGTAAGCCTTTGATACTTTCGATGGAAACGAGTACAGTATCGTGAAATAAATTTCATTTTATGAAAACATTCAAATAAAATGCCTGTTTTTTGTCGATCTATTTTCCGACTTCAAATTGGCAAAAAAAATATTCGGCAAGTCAATAAACATAAAAAATTCGGCAATTCGGCGCCGTCGGCAAACGGCTGGTTTCTGAACATTTTCAGCTTCATCTGTAATTTTTTAAATATGTGGGAATTTTTTAAAGAAAAATCTGAGACATTCCTTGACTGAAATTCCCAAAATCAAGATCGAATTACTGCGGAGAGTGGATTTCTTTTGGAAAAATACAAAAAAAAAACGGTTCAAACATGTTCTCCTATATATTCTACGCATTTTACAGTTGCCAGTAAATTTATGAAACGCTTTCTTAAAAAATCTTTAATTTTTCAAATTTTAACAATTTTACACAAAATGTGAATACTCCGATTACACACATGAATTAATGATAACGCATATTGGGGGTGTGATAACGTATGTAGGCTGCATCGTTTTATTGCCAGAAAAGATTTTCTCATATCAAAAAAAAATCTATTTTCAACTTATAAACATATGGATGCAAATTATCGATTTCGTAATAAGTAAGTTAATAATAAGACGAATAATATTTTTTATATTCTCACGTTTATATACCGAAACAAATGGTATCAAATTTGTGAAAAAACGTTAAAAATTGAATTTTCAGAGAATGTAGTCGAGATTTACTTGAAGATTTGTACGAATGTGGTGGAATTGGAGACGATGATATAATTGGGATTGATTGGTTGAATAATGGATCATGGACTACGTATAAATTGAGTAAGTTTGACCGAATTTGGCTGAAAAATTATCGAAATCCATATTTAGGCACACTTATCGAATTATATGGTCCGGAATACCCATTTCGGAGAAGAAAAGTGAGGAAAAACAATTTTAGAGAAATTTGTAATTGATTTTTGAAGGTTTCGGTTGGGAATGAATCGGATTCTTCTTTTGAGTTCTCTTCCGATGAGGAATTAACAAGCCGAAGAAAATCTGTAGTAATCGACGAGACGAAAAATTCTGTTTTTGAAATTCCAGGTAGTCTTGAGTATTCTGAATATTTCCGCAAAACTGAAAATCTTCAGCTTCATCAGAAAAACCTGGAGAGAGCGAAGATTCCAGCCAAATTGCGAATGTTGAAGTTGACGAAAATGGCTAGTTTTTTTCCCTATTATTTTCATTTCAGTCTGAGTCAGTCGACTATAAGATCTGGTCTCGACTTCCCACCTACAGATTTTATTTCAGGATTGCTTGAAATCATCAATATTCTACCACAGCCAAAAGGTAAGCTTTTAAGCCGAAAATATGTTGATAGGCTTGTCGTTTCGGCCCGGCTCCGAAGCGACAAGCCTATTAATGGATCAAAAAAATGACTATTTCCACACTGAATCGGCCCATAGTGAATAATCCACAATTGAACGGCTGAAAAAAAAAACAGCGTCTCTTTTGCCGCCTAGATAATTATGAAAATTATCCAACTAGCTACAGTCTGCATATGCGCGTGAAGTTTTTCAAGTGTGCATACACTGAGCGTTTACCGTACAACCTTTCCAATTACTCAATTGCTTGCAGAAGATCGCATTGAAACTCTCTCGGCTGAAAAAAATGATCCGCGATTGCCACTTATTGATTCGTGTTCTCCGGAATTGGCAGTTCCAGGTATTCTATCAAAAATTATTGAATGTTTCTAAATTTAATATAGAAAATATGCGGAAAAGATTAATTGACGAACTCGAATTTTTCTGGAATTCGGTCGACGCTACGACATGGAAAAAACATGGCGTATCCATTTATGAGATTAATGAGAAGGTTGCAATTGCTTTTAAAATTACGATAATGTCCTTTTAAGGCCACTTGTAAACCATGCGGACTCAGACCAAACTGTTTCTCGGATGCTGTCTCGCTGGGAACGCACATATTCGCGAGAAAGCATAAGAACTATGTAAAACCGCCTAGATGATTAACAATTATTTGAGTTGAAGAATTTTAGATAATCAGATATGGATTTTCCATTTCGGATTATGCGATTTGGAAAGAAGCATTGCTTCACTGTATCGAGGAAAAATTGAAATTGAATGATGATTTAACAAATCCGTCGGCCAGTTGTGAAAATTTTGGTGGAAATACTGAAAATGCTACCGAAAACGGCTAGTTTTTTCCTATCATTTTCATTTCAGTCTGAGTCAGTCGACTATAAGAACTCTGTGTCTGAAAAAAATAGTGTATTCATTATTTTATTGCACTTCTCAGGGAATTCGATTTTCAACAGTTTAACTTAATTTTTTGGCAACACGTTGGATAAAAACTCATTGCCCCAGAGAAATACAGCTTTTGTTAGAACAGAACGCTGAAAAGAAAATACTTCGCATTTAACATTTTCCCGCATGCACCTTTAAACATAAGTAATCGTTAAATTTCCTGGCCGTGAAATTTCGGCCAGACCTACCCTTCGACGTGAAATTTCCCTTACTTAGTGAGCTACAAATTTTGTTTCAGGATCGGTCGAAATCATCAATATTCTACCACAGATTCCTCCACCAAAAGGTATGCTTTTCAAGATAGTTTAACGACTGAAAAAGAAACAGCGTCTCTTTTGCCGCCTAGATAATTATGAAAAAAAATTCCCCAACTAGCTACAGTCTGCATATGCGCGTGAAGTTTTTCAAGTGTGCATACACCGAGCCTTTACCGTACAACATTTCTAATTACTCAATTGCTTGCAGAAGATCGCGATGAAGCTCTAGCTGTTCCACACGATTCCGAAAATGGTAATTCTATGTCATTTTTACTTTCGTTTTTGAAAGGAATTGTAGAATATCTTAAATATGTCAATACATTAGTACGGTTTGTCAAATATGGCTAATGAGCACAAATCGTGCGTAATTAAAGAAAGTGCGATTATAACAGCTACCGTCATTATAAATATCATTTATTCATTTAGGGCGTAAAAAAACTCCCCGAAAAAATAAACATTCATAATTTTATTATTTACAATACACTACAAATTTACTTTCAGGGTTGCTCGAAATCATCAATATTCTTTCTCGGGTTCCTCGACCAAAAGGTAAGCTTTCAATATAGTTTTGATATTTTGGAACCGTCTATTTTTTTTCGGGCGTTTCAAGGCGAAAATATGTGGACAGGCTTGTCGTTTCGGCCCGGCTCTGAAGCGACAAGCCTATTAATGGATCTAAAAATGACTATTTCCACAATGAATCGGCCCATAGTGAATAATCCACGATTGAATGACTGAAAAAAAAATGTCGTCTTGAGCGTTTACCGTACAACCTTCATAATTACTAAATTGTTTGCAGAAGATTGCGATGAAACTCTTGCCGTTCCACACGATTCCGAAAATGGTAATTCTATGTGATTTTCTAAATATTCGGGATTTTTTTTAGAAAAACCTGAAACGTCCACACTGACTGAAATGCCCCAAATCCAGGTGATTAAGGAAGACGTCGATATTCTGGAAATGAGCAATTCGAAAGAGAATAACGAACGTGAAGGTAAGCGTTTTAGTGGAAACATGCTAGATTAAATTTGATCATTTTTCAGACTGTCATAAGCTCGAAAGTGAAAAAATTGACAAAAATGGTGGGGGTTTTTCCAGTTTTAGATGATCATTTGAGAATTCCAGACCCGGCCATCGAGAGCTATCAGAATTCTCTGTTTAGTTGGTGTTGTTGTGCAAGATTATGGTAGTATCCGTCTGTGCTGAATCGATTAATAGTAGAAGCATCCAATTTCAATGTATTGTGGATTTTCTTGCCAATTTGGAACTGTTTGAAATATTCGGTGGTACGCCGCGATTGAAATCGCAATTGAGCGCTTCTGGGCATTTGTTTTTCTTTCTTCCAGAACATTTTCGTCGGTTTTCGTTATTTTTTCAATGAGACAATCAACTATTGTTGAAAAATGACAAAAGTATCCAGGTGTCGTAGGATCTTGCGTTTTGTACGCAATGCTAAGAGACAGTTACCGTAATCTTCGCAGCGATTTACGGGGGACTTATTTTTTTAATTTCGCATATTAGATTTTTTTATTTTTCGCTCAATTTTCGTATTTCCCTTCGAAATTTTGTTATTTAAATTTGCAGAAACCGAGTTTAATAATTTATTTAGCAGAACACGCACTTTTAAAAGATATTTTTTGGTATAGTTGAAAAATGACAAATGTATCCAAGTGTCGTAGGATCCCGCGTTTTGTACGCAATCCTAAGAGACAGTTACCGTAATCCTCGCAGCGATTTACGGGGACTTTTTTTTAAATTCGCATATTCATTTTTTTTATTTTTCGCTCAATTTTTTCATTTTCTTTCAAAATTTTTCATTTGGAGTGCAAAATTGACCGTAGAGTTGCAGTTCCATACTCGAACTGTATGTGTTCCTTGCACCAGCCAAGAAGTACGGGAACATTAATATCAAGCTTTTGCTGCCAAGCTTCGTGGACGTATTGTCGAATTTTTTTCTTATCATCCTTTTCTAGTAGATGATTATAGTAGCTTTTCCGAATACTGATACGGTATTGGAACCGAAGATCGCATTGAAACTCTCTCGGCTGAAAAAAATGATCCGCGATTGCCACTTATTGATTCATGTTCTCCGGAATTGGCAGTTCCAGGTATTCTATCAAAAATTATTAAATGTTTCTAAATTTAATATAGAAAATATGCGGAAAAGATTAATTGACGAACTCGAATTTTTCTGGAATTCGGTCGACGCTACGACATGGAAAAAACATGGCGTATCCATTTATAAGATTAATGAGAAGGTTGCAATTGCTTTTAAAATTACGATCATGTCCATTTAAGGCCACTTGTAAGCCATGCGGACTCAGACCAAACTGTTTCTCGGATGCTGTCTCGCTGGGAACGCACATATTCGCGAGAAAGCATAAGAACTATGTAAAACCGCCGAGATGATTAACAATTATTTGACTTGAAGAATTTTAGATAATCAAATATGGATTTTCTATTTCGGATTATGCGATTTGGAAAGAAGCATTGCTTCACTGTATCGGTAAAAAGGCGAAAAATAAGGTTATCCCAGAATATCCGTTGTTAAACTCAATTAACATTTTAGAATATTTACATCGAAAAAACTTCAAAAACGGAGACGGAAAAAAAAGAGAGCAAAGAAGAGAACGGCTCGAAATATCCGCTGTTCAACTCGTTTGGATCAACTAACAAATTGCCAAGTGATACCAATTTTAAAGGCGCATTTAATTAATCGCATTTTTTTTTTAAGAAGCTGAATTTATTGAGGAATATGACAAATTGTGCGAACAAATTAACGGTATTCCGGCAAAAATCATTGTGAAAATGCGTGTTCAAAAGGTATTTCGGAATAAAAAATTGATTCATTCAAATCTTCATCAAATTTCAGCTAGACCTTACTTGTGATTTCTGTAAATGCCAAATTCAATCATTCTCTTCACTGGCTTCTCATGTATTCTCAAAGGGTCATTCTAAAAAAATTAAAGAAAAATGCGAAGGAACGAAAGAGGATTTGGAATATTGGAAGACGTTTATAAAAGAAGCACAAGCCGCAACGGACATTGCCTTTGGAAATGCGAAAGAAGAAATCCCGTTGTTCAATTTCTTCGGAAATGGGGAAAGTAAGCATTCAATTTGAATAAAAATGGAAATTTTCTCGAATTTTCAGAAGATCTCGAATTTGAGAAGGAATACGATGCACTTGCGAAGAGATTTTCGAATATTCCCATAGAGTGTGTTGCAATTGTCAATACTAGCAAAGTATTTAATTTTTTTTGAAATTGAATATATCATGTTTTTCAGTTGAGTGAAATGATATGCGAAAGTTGTTTGAAAACAACTGGAATATCAAAAAAATGCCAAAATTATCAGTCGATCGCTTCGCACGTCTTCTCGAAAACGCATGGCGAAATTCTCAAAAAAGACTGTAAAGTGGCAATAAGCGACCTCGAATATTGGAGAAAATTCATTGAAAAAGCTGAACAAATATCAAATTGTTCGACGAATAAAACGAATTCCGTGGCGATTAGCAACGAGGAAAGTATGTAATCGATTTTAAGAATTGAGGGAACAAAACGATTTTCAGCCACTTGTCAGGTGCCATTATTCGATGTCTCTGAAAAATTGGCATCCGATGTGCTAGAATGTTGGGTTTTAATTTTCGATTGCCCTTAAAATAACCCTAATATTCAGATTCGAGATTCATCGACGAATTCGAGTGTTTGAAGCGAATTTGGAATGGATTGAGCGCGCCAGACGACAAAAAGAGGGGGGAGAATCGAAAAAATGTGGGCCATCGAAAACATTCGGGCATTTTGAAACTATTCGACATTCAGAATAAATATCGATGCCGCCTGTGCGCGATTGACGTTGACGATAATCACACGCTGGTGCACTTTTTTCAAGAAAGCCATGAAAATGCTCTGAGAGCATTGCCCCAAGAGAAATGCCGATTTACAAATGCGGATATGAAGTTTTGGGAGGAGAAACTCAACGCATTGGTCGAACATGATTTCAATAGTACGATTTTTTCTCACACGTTTAAATGTTGGAGCGCGTTTAAGCTAAATTTTGATTTTGACACGAAATGAGCATTGTTTTTCCATGCGCCTTTAATAGCTATTGTTGGTGATGTTGACGATCCCACTCTGGTCCTTGTTCGAGTGCGGAGATGTTTAATTAAGAGAGAAATCATTTTTTAGAATGAGACAAGCTCAGATTACATACGAAATCGGTAGACTTATACAATTGAAATGCACACAATATTCTAATTAACGAAATAGCGTGCGTAATCGAGAGAGTGCAAAGACGCTGAGAGAACGTGCGTTGAAAAGAGACGCAGACATTTGCGTCTAATAATTTAGGATTTAGTGGATTTCTCGAATCATCCGCAACAAATTGTTAACAACTGAACATTGAGAAAGGTTTTGCAATCGTTTTGAGTCCATTTTTCCAGATGCACCGCCTCTGACCTATCGTCGAAATTCGCTTGAAGGAAACCTGATCGGCGATGAGTTTTCAAGGCGCATGAACGCGCTCGTCAACGATTTCAAGCATGTCATTCTTCCGATTGAATCGAAACTGAAAAATGTGATTTGTGATTGATTTTTGTTGTTGTTGTTGAAATTTTCGCATTTTCAGGGGATTTGTCGAATTTGTAATCGAAAAAAAAAATTAAAGACTGATCATATATTTGAAATTGAGCACATTGAAAAGGTGAAATCAAACGAGAATTAATTGTGAAAAAATTAAATTCTGCATTCATTTCAGCTGGCGAAATTTGGAGCGAAACCCGAGGATTTTGAGTATTGGGAGGCGATAATTCACAAGAAATTAGAAGAGCAACGCGTTTTTCAAACTCAACAGAGTGAGGAATTGTTCCTAACAATGATTCCTTTAGAATCGTGTTTTTGTTTTTCAAGATTCGCCGCCAATTCCACTCCTTGATGTTTTGAATGAAGGCGATAAGCGATTGGAAGGTAGATCAATGTTTAAAATCGCGTATTTAAAATTGCTGTTCAAAATTCAGAATCGGATATCGATGAGAAAATCAACGAATTGCGAGAGTTGATCAAAAAGGTGCCGGGTTATGGAAAATGCCCGTTGGATGAGGGATTTATTTGAAATTGTCGAAAAAAAAACATTTCTTTTGATGAGAATCAAAAATTTTCCAGGAGGCAAAGTGTTTTGTATGTTATGGAAACAATGGAAACCGATTCAAGAGTAAGAATCCACTAATTTATCACATTTTAACACATCGTCATATATTTTTGGTATGTTTTGCGATTTACGAGTTTGGTTTTAAAAAAATGAATAATTTAGATGAAACGATTTGGAATCGCCGCAGAGCATATTGCCTATTGGAATCAAAGATTGAATGACGCGATAAAACGAATGGAAAACATTTTATATCCACTGGAATTCTATTATGCCAATATTGATTTGGAAGAGTTTAAAAAGAAGGCGATGTCGCGTGAGTTTGAGAAAAAAAGAATGCAGATTATGATTGGAATTTGGTTTTTTTTTTTTGCAAAATTTTGTAGGAGAAGACGTGGAAAAGAATTTTGATGAATTGCGCAAAATGTCGGAAGGAATTGACAGAAACCTATTCAATTCAACGTATCCCGATTTACCAAAAAGGGTTCGTTAGTTTTTGAGTAGTGTTGTCAAAAAGAAAAAAGCTTGCGATAATGACCAGAGCTTCACGGAACTCCGGCTTCCGTATTCCGTTTTCCGTGAAATTTTCCTGTTCCGCGTTCCGTATTCCGTTAAAAAATTTATTCCGACTTCCGTATTCCGTGTTCCGCTTGCTATACCTAGCACATCAAGCGATAAGGTTAAAAACCACAGCCGGAGAAATTTGTTCGACAAAAAGAAGGTCCCGTGTCGAATGAGCACTTGGAAAATCTCACATTCTGCAATGTTAATTTCAAAAAAAAAATATTTGAGTTAGAGTAACTTTGTGTTCCGTCAGAAAAAAATCGTTCCGTTTTCCGTCTTCCGCTTTTAGAAAATTTAAGTTCCGTGCAGCTCTGCTAACGCCGCAAAATGCGCGGAAAATTTTTGCCAGCCTTCTTTTTTTTTTGATCTGTTGTCAATTATTGCATGAGGTTGAGAGGAAATCAGCGAATGGTCTCGGTAAAACTGAGCGCAACCCGCCGCTGGACAAATTTGTTCGTGGGTCCCGCCGCTCAATTTTACCAAGAAAATTACTTACAAAAATTTTGAAGAGTCAACATTAAATAAGAAAAAAAAGAGAGAGAGAGAGTGATGCGAAAAATTATTGAGAAATCGAAATAGAGGGTGAAAAAAAAAGGGCTGGTTGCCCCAGCCGAGCTCGTCTTCGAAACGACTTGGTTATGATTCAAACCTGTCCCGATGATGAACATCACAGATTGCAGAACAATCGGAGAAGTTGCATTTGGTGTGATCAGTACTTGAAAGAGCCGTATGACTGCCTGACGCATATGTTTCTCGACAGACACATACATGTGGTATATATGGAAACAAAACTGAAAACGCCTATGAGAACATAATTCAAGATGATGGAGAAATGCTATGTGACGAAGAAAATGTTCGACGAATGGAGGAAACGCATTGAGAATGTGAAACAGATTGCAATGAAAAATGAGGTTGAGATTGAGAAGAAGCGAACGCAATCGATGAATGAAATGAAGAAACTCGAAGAGGAAACCGGTCAGCAACGCCGGCAGTGGATATCGTTTTCACCAGACTTGAAATATGCTACCATATATACAGAAAATGTGCATGCAACGCGTAAGATTTATTTGAATTCGATATAATGTTCTCGCAGAGAGAATAGATAGTTGAATATTTTTAAACCATTGAAGAGCCAAAAACTAAACCAGTGATAACGCAACCAAAACCGACACCGATCGTTTCATGTGCTCCGAAAATTGATAAGCCGCCCACTATTAAAGGTCCGCTCTTCGAGAGATGTAGGAGTTATTATACTGAATGTGCCGTGAGTACGTTTTTCTTGTTTCTTAAATAATTTGAAGAGATTCGTATTTATTAATTTCTAGGCGGTCCTTGGCCAAGCATTCTTGGAACCATTGAAAATTGCGTGCAACTTGAGAGAAAAGTAGATAAATCGATTTTATTCAATAAAAAGGTATTTGATATACATAAATATTAATTTTGTTTAACCTCTGAAAATAATTATTTCAGTTGTGCTCAATTTGCAACGTGTGGGTGCTTGATAGAGCTACGAATATTGCGAAGCATGCGGTGTCTGTCACACATTTGTTCAATGTAAGAAAATATTCGAAAAAAAATATATATGTAATCATCGCTAAACGAGAAAAAAAATGAGCGCCCTGAATTGACTATTGAATTTTTTCTTTTGTGAGCGGTTATTCAAATTTCGAGAAATTCCCTAGGTAGAGTCGGGGCGTCTGCTGTTCGCGGGTAGATTTACGCGCATGCGCCTTGAAAAGGTCTCGCCACGTGTGAACGCTTATTTTGCTGTTTTCGCATGAACGGATAACCCATAAAATTCGAAGTAACCAGTTAGTCCGCGCGAGACCAGGCGAAAGAAGCATCCCCGTAAATCTACACCAGTCGCCGGACGCCGCCGACTAGAACTCAAAACCAAACCGCTCCCGATTGACTAAAATATTCCATTCGCAGAAAAATGTGAGTTCGATTCGCATGTTATCCAGAGTACGGTATCCGAATTCCCAATTGTTATTCATACCGCCTCGAAAAAGTGCGATGGTCCGCAATTTGTCAGAGTGCTCATTTTTTGTTGGCGATTTTCATACGAAAATTTGTCGTTGTTCGGTAGGTACTGTAGTCCTACAGTATTTCGGTCCGACAACGATAAATAATGAAAAGCGCTCGGAAGATCATGGGCCGCCGATGCCAAGAATCAAATCAAATCCGACCGAGTGCTCATAAAAATGTAATCTTAGTAAATGCGTGTTAAGGTATCCGAAAAAAAATAGTAAATAGAAGATTTTTTAGTTTCAACAACGAGGCGAAAAGTTTTTTGAGGAGTCATTCCTTTATTGGGCGCAAAAATGTAATCAACAAGTGTTTGGATATAAAAAAGAAATCCCAATCCAAAAGACGTACTATGACATATTGTCGGAGCCGATGTATAGTATATGCGATTTCTACACGCGCGCGTCGCTTTCAAATCTAAATAGTCTCTTGAACAATGTGAACTTTTCGACGTTGGCCGAATACAGACGAAAGCGTGGATTGCCGTTAATCGTGAGAATATTTATAATATGATATAGATTCGTGTTTGCTTGCAGGGCGGATGTGCGATATGCGATAAATGGCTGCATTCGGTCGATGAGATCGCCACACACGTGATGTCGGCGGATCATTTGAATGTTGGTTTTGTTTTTTGTTTTTTTTTTCGTTTTTGGGTGCGCTTTTAATTGAGATCCCCAAAAAATAGGCGATTGGTTAGAATAATGCGCACTCATCGATTTAAAAAATATATGAATGTGTCAAAATTACACATTTCTCTTATTTTGGCTGATAAATTAAAATAGTTATAAATAAGTATTTTTGAATTCTATCAATAATCTTTTTTTTTTTAATAATTTAAAAACTCGCCATGGCATAGCGCCAGGCAGAGAAAAAAATTAGTATTGAAAACTTTTTTCTACTCTTCTTCTCTGAATTTTTTTTTTAAGATTGAAATCGTTGGATTGCCGTATAAGGTTCTCTAACGGCATCAATTGTTTGGGGGTGGGGTCTCTTTTAATTTTAACAGTATGAAGATATGATTTGAAATAGATAAGAAATGGAAAAAATTTAAAAAAAAAAAGGAAGAATTCTTATCCGTAGAATTTCCGTAGAATTTTGACGGATCCGATTGGTTTTGAGTTATCGGCAAATAAATGCACAAAGTTGAATTTTTTGTTTTTTTTTTTCGATTTCTTATCTAGTTTCCATGATATTTTTGTATTGTCGAAGTCAAACGACTTATGAAATTAAAAAAAAAATTATTGGCTAGGTGCCAATGCCTCTCGAGGCAGCGAGAATTACGCGAGACTGCGTACATTGCATTATAGTTTACGAGCATTTAATACTCAGTCAACGATTTATTGAAATCAACACTGATTTCGCGAATCTGAACGCCCTGCTTCCCTTTAGTCGTTTGACGTCGACAATACTTTTAAAGGCTACCCCGCCCCTTTTTTTTAAAGGCGCAACCGAATGATAATATAGAAAGTAAACATTTTCAGACAATATTCTACACTGCTGCTGATGTTAACCACTGGGCCGTCCAATTTTCAGAATGTCAAAAATCATTAATTGAATCGTAAGCCAATTTTGGTAACTCTTCTGACGAATATTTTTTTTAAAAATTTTCAGCTGCGTCATTATGTGATATTATAAATACACGCTGGTCTGCATAATTAATCTAATCTACTCAATTCCACTTGTAAATACCAAAATTATTGTCGGCGTCGAAGCGAGTGAACGAAATTTGAAAAATAAGGTGTCTCGACGCGAAGAGACTTTTGCATTTGTGCGAAAGTCGATAATATTCATTTTTAGTCACACTGATTTTGCGAATTTGAATTTCCCGCCACCGATGACGCCCACAATAAATACATTTTCTTCGCGGAAATTTTCTGAACATTTGATCTCGAATGATTGTCATTTTTTAGTTTGTTGTCAAATAACTAGTCGAGATCGCCGACGTTGTGTCTTTTAAAATGAATCAATGATTCGTTCGTCAAAATTTTGCACTTTTTGTCCATTTCTCACAATTCTCTTTATTTCTCATTTCAAACAGCCGATTCGATTATTAAATTTTCGTTAGTATCGACGCAATCGCGCGAATCGTCGTCGGACCAACAATATCGGTGTAAAGGACCATCGAGGCGGCAGCGAGAACAAAACACGAAATCGCCTAAAATGTGAAATGCGATTGAAAAATGTGTTTGTGAAAGTAAAAAAAAAGAAGCAACCTTCAAAATGTACATCGATATTTGATTGACGTCATAGAACGATTCAATTTCGGGCAATTCGGGAAAGTTCTTCTCGAAAATGCCGAGAATCGGAAACGCGGGTCCCATCGCGACGGCGACGACGCCAATAAGCAAACCGATACCAATCAATTGGTGCATGTGGTGCGAAATGTGGTAATACTCAATTCAAAATGAAATGATCATTAATGCATCGATTTTGCAGCGGTAAAGCGGTAGATCAAACTTTCATTATCGCACAGGAGCCAAAAAATCACATTGGATAACAAAAAAAAGAAGAAGAAGAAGAATGAAATGTATGCCTAATCAGCGACCTATCAACCAATATTATATGGCACACGAACAAAACGTACAAATTCGGATATGCAGAGCGCATTGTTAGAATGTCGATGTTTTCTTGATGGCGTCGAATACACGAGTGACGGTTGGCAAGTAGAATGGCTCGTGGACATGTGGGAATGGAGTGTCGAAGCCGCAAACTCGCTCAATCGGCGCTTCCAGGTTCAGGAAGCAGCGTTTCTGAAGTTATTATATTTAATTGACACAGAATTCAAAAAAAAATCAAAGAGAATAAAAAATGTTAGTCGCGTCGCGGTTTGACCTTTGAGTAATTTTTTTTTGCAATTCAAATATTTTTTCTATTTTTTCAACCGCAACGCGACCGCGCGCGCGCAGCATTTTTTACCCTAGTCAAACGCGCTCCATTGACAAAAACAAACCTGAATCGTCGACGCAATTTCAGCTCCGAATCCCGAAGAAATCGGCGCTTCATGGGTGACAATCAATCGTCCAGTCTTTTTGACGCTCTGAAACCGCAAAAAAAAATCACAATTGCTCAAATAAGGGAGAGCAGGCTGACCTCAACGATGTGATCCTCATCCCACGGCTGAATCGTCTGCAAATCGATAACCTCCACATCCAAATTGAGCTTCTCCTTCGCCAATTGTGCGGCTTCAAGTGCGACGTGCATCTGCGTTCCCCACGCGACCAGAGTGACGTCATTTCCAGGCCGGACAGTTTCAGCTTTTCCCAACGGAAGAACATAGTCGCCAGTGGGGACCTCTTCGACCGCCATTCGATAGAGGATCTAAACAATTCCGAGAGTTTCCAAGCGGCTTTCAACACGACTCTCACTTTCGGCTCAAAGAAAATGCACGGGTTCGGGTCGCGAATGCAAGCCAATAGTAGGCCTTTTGCCTGAATCGGCCCCCTCGGCACCACCAGCTTGAGTCCCGGCGTATGAGTGAAATTCGCCTCGGGACTCTGCGAGTGATACAACGCGCCGTGTCCCACCGCGCCCCACGTCGTTCGAACCGTCAGTTTGCCGCAATTGAACTGATTCCCGCTACGATATCGGTATTTGGCCGCCTCGTTGACAAGCTAAAATTACGAATCATCGATGAAGGAGGGAAAGAAGGGAGAGATGAATGCTGACTTGATCATAAGCCGGAAAGATGTAGTCGCCGAATTGGATTTCGGCGATCGCCGTGGCACCGGAAACGGCGAGTCCGATTCCGAATCCGGCGATTCCCTGCTCGCAGAGTGGTGTATTGAAGACTCGGTCCTTTCCTAGAATCGGAGGATTAAAAAAATATTCTGGTACAATGCCAATAATGGTAAATCCCAAAACTATTCAGAGCTATGAAAAAATTGTTTTTCACTGAAGACCTTTTCTTCCGACAATTCAATAATTGCACATTTCAATGATTCCTACCAAATTCCTTCTGAAGGTTCACACTACATCTGAAGACACCACCAAAAGCGACGTCTTCGCCGAAAAGGACAGCCGAGTCATCAGTTCGCATCGCGATTCTCATCGCTTCGTTCACCGACTGCATCAGATTCATTTTTGAGCGTTCAACTGCAACAAACAGCAAATCGATTACGGTAGGCAAGAATCAGTCGCCTCGAGACCAAAAAGTTAATGATCGTTGGACGCCCCGCGTTCATTTTTAGTGATTTTTGAATAAAAACTGGAAATGTTCAGAAATTTAAAAAATGTTACCGCAACACGTTCAATTTAAGGTCTCGCAACGACTGATATCTGAAATTTGCCTTTAAAAATTCTAAGCTAAGAATGAAAATATCAAATATTAGGTCTTCTGCCTCACGAAGCATAGAATTCGTGTCGGGACGGATATTTTAAAGGCGCACATCACAAAAAAACCCTATTTTTCTTCTAAACCATTACCATTTTCGAGTCCCGCCGGAATCGCCGTCGACGGCTGAAACGTAAAGTGCGCTTTTCCTCTCGCCTGCTGGCCAACTCTCGCGGCACACTGTGCCAAAATCGAAGCTCCCCGAAGGACCATCTAAAACAAAGGTCCAAATTTTAAGTAGTCATTAAAAAAAAACTGAAATATAAAAATCGTGTGGACGACTTTTTCAAAAAAAAAAAGAAAAAACGTTTTCAGTTTGAAAAATTTCCAAAATTTTTATGAGAAAACGAAAAAAAAAACAACGAGCTATATTGAGTAACAAAAGCCAAAACAAAGAAGCTTCTTTTTTTAATTAAACACGCAAGAGAAAAAAAGAAGAAGCGACGCCTTGCAATCAATTCTCAAGGGAAATTCCCAAGATTACCGGTTAGTGAGGAGAAAACAAGGCAGCGAGACAGACAAAAATCACAATACCCCGGGCGGAAACAATTGGAAAAAAAAATTATAATAATTATGGATTACGGTGGATCTCAATCCTCATCCGAGTCCAATCCTTCAATATCCTCGTCGACATTGAACAATTCCTCATTGATCGCCATTTTCGCCATCGATCCGGCAGTGGCTTCAACGGCCGTTGATGAGTTCGCCATCTCCGTGTCCAACTCCTCATCCATTCCGTCGAATTTGAAGAAGTTCGCGTCGATTTCGAACACCTTCTCGTTCTCCTGAAACAAATGCTGATTTTCCATTTTTTTTCTCATAAAAATTGCAATTTAAAATTTTTTTTCACCATTTTCGCCTACCTCATTCTCGTCCTTCTCCATTTCAATATCGCCAGCTTCATCGTCATCGTTGTTCACCAATGTGGCGTCAAACAAGAACAAATCGCGTCCAGACATGCCATTCTGAAGATCAAATAAGCGTTTCTTATCAATTTCCGTTGAATGACACCAAATTTCTTATCGAAATGTGTTCAACAAAAAAAACAATTCGAAGAAAATTCTCACGTGTTTTCCAGACTTGATTTTATCCTTCTTCGCCTTCAGCTCATCCTCCTCTTTCTGCTTCCGCTCGCGAAGCTTCTTCTTCTTCCACGCGACGAACGTCTGAAGTGTGATTTTCGTCAAGTTCTTCGAGCTCAACGCGGCCCTCTGCAAAAAAAAGATGTTTGAATAAAATATTTGAAAATGCGGCAAACCTCCTTCTCAACGAGCTCCTCGATGCTAATTTCCTCCTCTTTTTGCGTTTTCATCGCTTCGCGATCTTTTTTGAGAACGTAGCCTTCAGGAAGGCAATGCTTATATGGGCATTTGTCGCCGTTGTTCGGACACTCCCAGAACCAACCATATTTGTTGTTCTCGACGGCTTCCAGGAAGTATTTGCACACCTAGAACGCAAATTTGAAATTAAATGTGTCAAACAGGTGCTTTTCGAGGAAAACAAGGCCTTCCAGAATCAATCGTTGTGAGACCCTGATCTATTAAAATTCTTTTTAAATTTCACAACTATCTTCAAATAGATTACCCAACTTTCAGAATTTTTAAATTGAAAATTGAATACTTCACAAAAAATTCAAAATTTAATTTAATTTGCATTTTTTTTTTAAATTTATTCTCTAAAAAATTTTTTAACTTTTAAACATTGATTTATTGCATGAATCGGTTCATTAATATCAAAATTATTTAGGGATACCGTAATTAAAGGAGCACTCAATTATTTCAAGCTGAGTTTTGCGACTATTCTTTGAAATACTGACCCCTGAGATCCTGAACACCTTAAGCAAGTGGGTCCTGGCAAAAATTCGTCAAAGAATTAAAAATTTTGAAAAATAAATTTGAGTGCTAATTTTTTAAAGATTTTCCAAAAGAAACTACCGTATCGCTATTAAAACCACATTTTTAATAGAAATTTTCGCGTCTTTTTTCCAGAAAATGGAACAAACGTTTCTCAATTGACTCACAATATCAATTTGATATTGTCCTTTATTCTTCTTGGTGACAACTTCATTGAGTTTATCCTTATCCCAGTTCTCATTCGTCTCATCGGCCTTCACTTCTCGACTATCCACATACAGATTCTTCTTTTGCGTCTTCTGCGCCACCGCCAAATCGTGACTGAATTTGCATTTGGCGCCTTTCCCGCAGAGGCCTTGCTTGAAGAATACGCAAAGAATCGATTTGGGATCAACGTCTGAATACGATTCATGCATTCTTCTTTTCAGAATTCTTACCTTTTGCGATCTTCTGCTCAACTGGCTTCAGAAGTTTGGCGATATCGAGAAGATCGTCTTTTTCTTTTTTCTTGGCAGCTTCTTGTTGCTTTATAATGTCTAGCCTAGTATTATTGTTACGAATCTGAAATCGGACAAATTTGAAAAAAAAAAACCGCTCAAGCAGTTATTTATATTCTTACTTGATTTTCAATTTGCTGCACATATTTTTGATTTTTATTTCCTTTCTTATTTTTTAAACCGAACGTTTTGTCCTCGATGACTTTCTCCTTCCGTTTTTGCTCAGCTTTCTTACCAGGCTGTTGTTTCGGAGGCATTTTAGAACCTAAAAATCAAAAAATGAAGAAGAAGCTCAAAAAACGAGGTGAAATCCTACAAAATTAATTTTTTTTGGACACGAAAACTGCGCCAAGCACGCGAAATGCGCCAATGTTCGATCACTGACTCGTAATCAGTGCGCAATTGAATATTTCATTCCTTTTCCGGAAAACTACTTTTTCGCAATATTCCGCCAGAAATAAGTTTCCCTTTTATTGTCCAATAAACCGGCGCTTTTCAATTTAATTTTCTCCATGAACTAATTCATAATTCCGTGAAAAATGCAGTTAATTAATCATTAAAAAATATTACTCATAAAATTATTAAACTCAAAACCCAAATTATTTATAATAATTAATTAAATTAATTATTCAGGGCGTATGTTTGGCAGTATGCAGAGAGGTGAGCAAGAAACACCGCCAATTGAGCAAGACCGGCGAGAGTTGGAGCAGCAATCGGTTAAAGCTCAAAAATCCAAAAAAAAATAATAATTTTGGAATTCAATTTTTCAGACAATGAGCACCGGAATGTCGTGGGAAATTCGCGTCCAATGTTTCATTGGGCTCTTCGTTTTATCTGTAATCGCCTCCCTATGCGTAATACTCAAAAAAAAAAGAAAAATCGAGATTTTATTTCAAAACCAAATTTTCAGGGTTCGTTCCTTCTCGTCCGCACCAAAATCACCGGATTCTGCATAATGACCTCATTCAGCGCAATTCTATCATTGTCAAGCACCTGCTTCCTAATGGGACCCATTGGGCAGATCAAGAAAATGTTTGACAAGAGTCGATGGATCGCTTCAACCATTTATCTACTTATGATCGCCTCAACACTGATCTCCGGTAACTCAAAAGCTCAAATCAATGGGGGTTTTTTTGTTCTCTTCGAAAACATCATTTTCAGGCTTGTATCTTAACAATTCCGCACTCGCCATTACCTGCACAATCGGCCAATACATCGCAATGGCGTGGTATTCCTTGTCCTACATCCCATATGCCAGGTAATAAACACTTAACCCGTTAATTAGGCAATTAACATTTTCAGGGAGGCTCTCGCACGGGTATTCTGCTAGTCCACCTCTCGTTGACTCTTCTCTTTTGTGATACACGCTCGGCATTTTGTATATTTTTACTATTTATTTTTATCCCATTTCCTTTCCAGCGCATAATTCGAACCCCCGTTGATATAATAATAAATAAAACGAATAAGTGGTCTTATGACGACGTCGGCGATGAAGAAGAAGAAAAAAGAAGAATGCCCATTAGTCAAATGTCTTAATGGGATGAAATGTGTCATTTCTTTACGGAAAACTGCGCCGATACACCATTGATATGGTGGTTGGAAACCAGTTTCGAATTTATGTTCATGAGTCCGATATGAGATTTTCTTCAATAAATAAATTTGCGACTTTTTCGCGCGATATTTTTTCTGAATTTGAATTTTGAAGATCGCTTTTTTCTTAATAATTATTCTGCATAATTGAAGTTTTAGGCCACGCCTTTTTTCATTTCCGGGAAATTTGAGTGTCCTATTTTTCTTGGGACGGTTTACTCCTTACAGTTTTTGCGAAATCTTCTTGATTTTACATTGCTAAAAAAAGTCGTTGAAATAAAAAAAATTGCAAAAATAGCTTGAAAAATCTGAAAAAAAATATTGAAATTTTGAAAAAGTTAAGGTCCGCAGGTTCACCGACACGCACTTGCGCACAATTTGTCTACAGTAACCGGTTATTCAATTTTTTCCAAAAATTTTGGTGATTTTATGAATGCTGCAACAACATCGTAGCAATATATCATATTTTTGAAACATTTTTTTGGTGTACCTTAAAATCTAAACATTTTTCACGATTAATTGCGTTCCCAAAAACTGACTAATTGCCAATTAATCGTCCCAAATGATTTTCACAAGACGCTATTTCATTTAATTGTGGAAGAAGACCAAATTTGGAATGTTTCACTAATCGACGTTTCAAAAACAATAGAAGAACGTATTAGGAAAATGTTCGTCTCGGAGGCCCACAGAACGGGTGTGTTAATTTGATTTATGGGATGGCTGACTTGCAGGTAATTGAGAAGCGGGTCGTTTCGCGCAACAACAGCAAAAAAAAGTGCGCGCATGCCTTTTTTTTGCGGTCGCGCGCGCACGGCCCCAGTGTCGTTTTTTGATTTATTTAACGACGCCTCAGCCACTATTTTTTTTTTTGGCCGCTGCCCCCCACCCCATTTACGCGCTTCCAGTGTCGCTGTGTTCAGTGCCGCTCGTTTCGGTCTTCACCAACAAAATGGATTGACATTTTCTTCTTCTTTTTTTTGTTGTTTCTGAATGTGAGTATGTTGCTCCCATGATTTATGGCCCATATTGTCGAAATTTCGCCACGCGCGTAGTAGACCATCATTCATTTCTTGTTTTCTTTCATTAATATCTGAAATTAATAAAAATTCAATTTGTTTTGAAGAAATTTGAAAAAAAAAAACACAAATTTAGTGAATGAAAAACGCGCTGCCGAAAAAAAGTCCGCAAACACCGTGCGCACTACAGTCCCAATCGCAAAAAATTAATTTGTTCCCGTTTTTTCTTTTGCACACAAATTAATTAGTTTCCTTTCGCAATTATCTCTTCCCGATGATATTTTGTTTCATTGACACCTAAAATTGATTTAAAAAATTGAATTTGTTTCGAAAAAAATTAAAAAATCGCAAATTTATTGAATGAAAAACGCGCTGGCGATAAAAGTCCGCAAACACCGTGCGCACTTTCCCAACTACAGTACCACTCGCAAAAAATTAATTTGTTCGCGTTTTTTCTTTTGCACCCAAGTTAATTATTTCTCTCGTCATTTTTTTTGAGCCGCCGAATCCAATTTCCCATTCGAAATCCAATCAAATTGCTTCTAAAAATATGCGCATAATTATTCAGAACCGCCAAAAAAAACCCCGATAGAAGAGGCCAATATTAATGGGTTTCCACTCATTTTTCACTAGCCGAGCGGTTGCTGGCAACCCGATAACCAAGATGATGTGCAGATGAGGACGACGGCAAGCGGAGGGCGGGGGGGAGGCCAACAAAAAAAACATATATACGATGAACCCGAAGGGGGGGGTCCTCTCTGCACAATTCCATCGTTTTATGAGCTTCTCAACAATCACAGCCTCCTTAGTTTTTTTTTGAATCTCGTCGATGACGGCGGCGAGTCGGCTCCGATTTAATGGCTCTCTCAATAATGTTTTTTTTTGTCCGGCCCCGAACCAACCTGTTAGCCAATTCGCGTCCTTGAAGACAATGGCAATTAGAAACATTGAATAGGTTCTCTTCTTCTTTTTTTGTAGTGGAGACAGAACGAAAAAAAAGTGCCATTGAGGAGATGAATTTGAGGTCGAACGACATCATTTCAACGCGTGTGTGTTTTTTTTTGGTCGCTTCTGTCATCTTTTGAAATGCCGTGGCGAAACCAGTGGGTGCCAGATGTTAACTATGCCAATAAGCTTGACACTTTTTCCCCAATTGCTTCTTCATTTCCATTCTTCTTCGCTCTCCATCGTGTTGTGCGATTTGACTGGTGTATCATTTGTTCTTCAGTCATTCATCATGCTTTTACACAGCTCCAATCGACCTGCACTTTCTCTTCTGTGCGCCCTTCTTTTTTTTTTGGGAGCGCTCATCCTCAATCTTCTTGATTTTACACAGCTGCAAATAATGTTACCGTAATTTTTTAGTCATTTAATATTAAAATTGCAAAAATCGCGTGAAAAATCTAAAAAAAAACAGTTGGCGAAATGAAATTTTCGAGGTCCGCATGTTCACCGACACGCATTCTTGCACGACTTGCCTACAGTAACCCGTTGAATTAATTGAATTGAGTTTTTTCTTTTTGAGAAACTATCAGTAGAATTTTTTGCTGATCAAATTGGCATGTTCACCGCCACGTAATATTGCACAATTTTCCAAAAAAATTAACTTTCAGAAAAAAAAACATTTTAGGAGTCGCCTGAAATTTTGGAAATCAGACCATTAATTTTTTCCTCAATATTTTTACAAAATTTAGTTTTAAAAAACTCGTTGCCTGACCAAAAAAATGACTACCATAATTGGTCGCTGCGAAACCTCTCTAAAAAATTTGGCGTGCGCCTTTAATTACCGAATTTGGGATATTCAATGAAAATAAATTAAACTCAATTTTTTAAAAATATTTTTCAATAGTTGTTTAAAGGCTCATTGGGTCTTGCGACGGCCGATTTTTACTTGGCGAATTGCCAATTTCGAATTGACGCGATTCCCATTCAAATCGCCAAACTATTCGCTGCGGGATATTCCCCAAATTATCTCATGCGCCTTTAATTCGATGTTGAATTTTGGAAAAAAAAAACCGAGAATTCATCAAACACTTCAATTTTAGACATCGATTAGAATCCAATTAATAGGAGGGTTGGGAGAGAGAGGGGGGGGTCCAAAAAAAAAAAGCCCCACATTGGTGTGCACCTCTTTAAAGGACGCCAGCTTCTTGCCTCGGTCATTCAATGCTTTTTTGTTGTTGCATTGTCTTTCCAAACCGGGCGGGACCACTCTCGCCCTCCCTCTCTCGCTCACTTCATTGATTTGGCGTGTCAAAATTTGTTGGCTCCTGGTTTCGTGGGGGGGGGACCCCATTATGTGCGTTTGGTTGTCTGTGCGCATTCGCTAGTATGTATCATGTATCTCGTGCGGACTTCCGAAGACGTCTGTTCGGCTCGTGGTGTGTGCTCTCACACACCGGGCGGTCCCTCCTTTTTCGCATAGATGTTGACTTTGGCAATTCGCCACCACACACCAATTATCGCCATTCGCGCTTATTATTATTATTATTATTATTATTCATATCGGTGTGTTGATGGAACATTTTTTGAATTTCGCGCCCAAATTTTGAATTCCCAGAAATTTTTTTTTTGGTTTCCAACGAATTTTGGGAGTTTTTTTGAATTTCGCGCCCAAAAAATTTTGGCGCGAATTTAAAATGTTTAAAATTTTATTAGATTTTCAACGAATCTTGGGATTTTTTTTGAATTTCGCGCCCAAAAATTTTGGCGCGAATTTAAAATATTTAAAATTTTATTAGATTTTCAACGAATCTTGGGATTTCTTTTTTGAATTTCGCGCCCAAAAATTTTTAGGCGCGAATTTAAAATGTTTAAAATTTTATTAGATTTCCAACGAATTTTGGGATTTCTTTTTTGATTTTCGCGCCCAAAAATTTTTTGGCGCTAATTTAAAATATTTAAAATTTTATTAGATTTCCAACGAATTTTGGGATTTCTTTTTTGAATTTCGCGCCCAAAAATTTTTCTGGCGCAAAATTTGATGGTACTTTTAAGGAAATTCAATACCCGGAAAAATTTTCCGAAAACTTTTTCATCAAAAGCAAAAAAAATGGCAAAATTGGAATATCCAAAAAAAGTGTTCGCGGCGAGAAAAATTGTTGTTATGCGCCTTTAAAAAAATAGAAAAGCTGTTGGAATTGGTATTTTGAATAGCGCGCCAATTTTCCAAAATTTCCACCCCCAGGAATTTTTTTTGGATTTGAAAAAATTAAAAGCGACGCATATTAAAAATAGATTTTCAAAAAAAAAACTATTAAAATTCAAATTAGTAATTAATTAATTATTTAATTTATGTATTTTTCTATTTCTAGAATGTGTGCAATTTTGCGTGAGTGTGAATGAACCATTACGGATCGTGTGCCGCGATTTATCCGAATTCCTCCTCACGCTTTTTGTGCCGATTAAAGTTTTTTCTAATTGGTTGATCCAGAGGCCCCCAATTATACCAGAAATTCTCATTTTTCGTTTTTTGATTCTTAAAAAATTTTCGAGAAGAAAAAATTTTGCTCACCCAAAAAAAATTCGAAATCTATTTTTTTTGCAAATTAATCCCATCAATCATTTGTTTGTTTGTTTGTTTTTTTTCATTCTGAATAACCATTTTTATAAGCGACATTCCACAACTCACACGTGGCCTAGAAAAAAATGTTCTAAAAAATTCGGCCACGGCCACCCTTGCATTTTTTTTGTTGCTGCGTGTTCCGAAATTGCCAACCATCGC